GGGGGGGGGGGGGGGGGGGGGGGTTGGGCCCGTGACTGGTGCAACGCATCCAACACAGAGGACATACCTGCACGCACACGCACACAGAGAGCGCAAGAAGGGAGGGCTCAATGCCAGCACTGCTCACTCACAGAATTACGGAGTAACGGAAGGGATCTTGGAGGTCATCTAGTCCAACTCCCTTTACCTTGGTTGTCCAATTTCTTCTTAAAAACTCCCAGCGTTGGAGGCCTTCACTTCAATTTTAACCCTGGAAGTTTTCAAGAAGGACAGACAACCCCTTGTCTGAGGAGGTACAGGGTTTCTCACCTGGGCTGTAGCTCTCCATCCCTTTATGCAGCCACGGGCACTCCCACCCCTCTTCTTTAATCTTCTGGCTTTGGGGAGGGGCTCAGAAAAGCTTGGCTGCCAGGGGAGCCTCCACCCCCCTCGGGCCTTTCCAGCGCCCCAGACAGCTGCCTTGGAAAGGGCCTTGAAGACCTGGCCTTGCCCAGGGCCCAGGTCAGAGCGGCTGGGCGAGCGGCTTCCATTGCCGGGACGTGTGGACTGTCCTTGGCACAGCAGGTGGTGTGTTTGGGGTGGATTTCCCCTCCGCTTTTGTTAGCCAAAATGAATCACCTGGCAGTTTCATTGTCTCCAGCTGACTTCCACTTCCACCGGTGACTCCCTTGTGCACCCACTCGTTCCTGACTTGGTTATTTCTTATTTTACCAGGCACCCTCCATCTGCAGACTTTGAACTTGCTTACCCAGCTCCTATTTCCGCATAAGAAACTAGGCCGACGCAACTGAATCCAGGCCTCTCAGGGAAAGTAGGCTGGTTTGTACGGTCACCTTTAGCTTCCGTGACACAAAAAGAGCATTTGGTGGGAACTGGGCTTCGACTGGACGTGTGGCAGGCTGGTCAAACTCTGGCAGGAAGGAGGGCTCTCGCCTGCTCCCCAGCAGCAGGGAAGTTTGCCTGCAGACCTGGCGACGGCCCCTCCGCCATCCCTGCAAAGCCAAGTTGCCTCTCATCTGCTCTCTTAGCAGGCTGGAGAGCACCGAAGGGTATCTTTTTCAGCCTTGGCGACCTTAAGTCAGGTGGGCTTCAACTCAAAGCTTTGCTGGCTGGGGAATTCTGGGAATTGAAGTCCACATGACTTAAAGTCACCAAGGTCGAGAAACACTGGCACAGAAGACACCCCTGCTCAGGAGTCAAACCTGAAAGGCTTCCCACCAATATATTTCCTGGTTCACGGAACCACTTGCTACCCGGAAGAAACAGAGACCAGGTGCCCTTCAAAGGGGGCCGCTTGCCCCAGAAACAGGAGGTGAGACACACACACACACACCCACAACTTCCGTTTCACATCTTCTGGTGAGAAAAGTTGTGACGGGTGCACACATCTGGAAGTGCTGCCATTGCAGAAGGAAAAGCAAGCACAGAATCCCACCAGATTGCATCCCTCACCGATGCCATCATTCATTCATTCAACCATTCATTCGCGAGTGAGCCACTGACTCTTAAGCCACCGGCAACAAGAAAAGCACAAACAACTCCATCATCGCTCTCCAACCAAAATAAGACAAACCACAAACAAGCACCAACAGCTTCAGGATGAAAATTCCTGCCATGCCTATCCCGGCAGCTGCCTCGGTGCCCGAGGGAAGAGCCGGGGCTTCAGGGCAATCCAGCCTTCTGAGGGGGCTGGGGGGGGGGGTACAAGAGCCGCCTTCACCAAGGGATTCTGAAGGGGGGGGTTACTGCACAGGGCTGCATGGGCCTTCCTAGAGCGCACAGGTGTGTGTGTGGGGGGGGGGGGGCGGGGGGGCACCCTGTGGAGCACACCACCACCCACGGGGGGGCGGGATCTGCCTGGGTTTCAGAATGCCTTGATGCTCGTCCAACCTGCTTCTGAAGCACAGAATGGTTTACTCCCAGTGCATTTTCTTCGGAACAGAGGGTGAAGCTGCACCCCCCCACCCCACCCCCACCCCCGAGGCCACCGTGCTTCACCAGCCCAGAGGCCCAGGATCGCACTGGACCAGGGAAACCGCTCCCCTCAGAACCCGGGGAGTCCCCCCCCCCCCCCGAGAGAAAAGCAGAAAGGGCTCCAGGAAGCCCCCGCTCTGTGCTTTGTTCCCCAGGCCTGCTGGCCTCGGGACAGCGGTGGCAGCAGCAGCTCCGGAGCGCCCAGGCGCATTCCCAGAAAGGCGCCTCCCAGAGTGGCCCGTATGACCCACAGCTCACCAGAGTGTTGGGAGGCCAGATGAAATCACAGAGGAAGTTGGCAAGGGCTACTTGGAGGCACCTAAAAATAGTGTGTATTTTGCTTAAACAATACCTGAACTGTGTCATGCAGCCGCTGCCGCCGCCCTGCCTGTCCTTGTTGCTATCCTCTGAGCGATAACATTTCTGAGGCTTTGTTAGAGGAGCCCCAGCCATCCCTGCGACGAAGCCCTCCAGACCGAGAGAACCATCGCCCAGCCCTGGCATCCCCTCCTGTCCCCACTGAGCGACTTCCAAAATCTGACATCGCCCTCCCCTCGGTTCAAGGGCCTCCTCCACGCCCGTCTCGCCAGCTGCCTGTTTTGTGCTCAGCTCAACGAAAAAGGGAAAACGCAGCTTTCATTCCCCCACAAAACAAAGGCACAAAAACCACGCCAGGAAAGTCCCGAGTCAAGGCAGCTAATGCCATGAAGGGACAGAGGGATGAGGACTCCGGCCGTGTCCCGGCCGTCCCAGCTCCTGGCAGGCCTCGTGCCCTGGGTCTAAAAGGCTGCGCAACTGCACAGCAGGCCTAAAGCTTCTCCTCCATTCAGTGGCCGACAGGAGAGTCACCTCCTCTTGAAAAGCGGACTGTGGCTCCCTCACCCTTCTGCCCGCTCTTCGGAGGGGTTCTCCGTGGAGCGACAAGGCGGCAGAGGCTGGGCAACGGTCGCCTTCCTTAAAAAAAAAAAAAAGAAGTCCCTGCCCCTGATTTCCCTCCTGCCAATCAGCACCCATCACCAGACAGCCCCCCCCCCCCCGAGGAGCTTCTGTGCGGCCAGAAGGACTCTGCAGCTGAACGGCAAGTCAAGCTGCCCCCTTGACACCACTTGGGAATCTGCATGACATCATCGCTGGATGAATACCTGGAAATTTTACAAGTATACCAGCAACTTTTTAACAAAGCTCTCTCTTTTATCGTTTCCCATCTTGGGATTTGCAGCATAATGTAAGCTTTTGTTTCAAAGTTTAAGCCTAAGGAAGACCATTGTATCTAGCACCCATCAAACTAAAGCAATATTTACATTGCTAAAAAATACATTCTTTACAGAATTATGGGTTTTGCCTTCTGTAAAAAAATGTATTTCATTTGGACAGTGAGACTTAAGGCCAAAGGTACTTATGCTAACAAATCAGACAAGCAAAGCCTTACATCACAGCTAAGGTACAATGTACGCCTGAGAGGAGGGCTACTGGGCTCCCTCTGGATGATATGACCCGGCGGTGCGGTACGTTCTTTCGTAACATGGCAGGTGTGGAGAGCAGATCTGCTGTGTCAAGACATTCTGACCTGCATCCCAGTTAAGATAGGGATTTGCATCAGCACAAGGTATCATTCAGGTCCAACCTGGAAATTCAATGTTAGCAATTTTAACTGGCTGCCAGACTCAACTCTAGGCCTGAGTCAGAAATGAAATCCCCAACGATCAGAGTTCTGACTAAAGCAACGGTCAAAGAACTTTAATTAATCCTGCTGTTAAAGGACAGGGTTGTTGTTGTTTTTTCAAATCTGGCCCTTTATTAGTGCCTGTATTGACCAAGATTACTGCTGTCTCTTCTAATCAAATTCTGGGAATATTGAAAATGTAACTTCAACCGTGGGGCCTCTCTCCTTAAGATTGTCTATGTAATGTAAGTAACACATGTGAGCCTTTCTGATTTTTTTGGCTGGGTTTTAGTTCTCTATTTTCTTTTTTAAAAGTTCTGAAATTTTTGGTGCCATGTTAAATAAAGGAATAAAAACTGATGAAAACAACCAATCTAAAATTTCATTGCCCTTTTCAGAGCCAACCCAGACCCCCATAGCTGTTAAATTTTTATTTTCTGAATGGATTGAACGCAGCAGACTCAACATTTTGCTTTGTAAGAAAATGCTGCCTTATATCACAAGAACAGGGGAAATTTTCATTATTTTGTGCTTTTTTTTACTCTCCTGAATGGGCTGTATAGAGTATTATAAAAAGTAAGATGTCCACAATAAAGATTTTTGTAAGGATATAACACAGGCATTTTTATGTAAAGAAATTCAGAGTAATTTAAAAAGATGTGTTAATCCTCCTTGTTCTTGGATGAACAATGACATGAAATCAATAGATGGGAAAGGTTTCTCTTGGTTGGGTATCCATCAAATACAAAACTAAATGCAGTGGTTAGAATTAAGCTGCTTTATATCTATACACTAATAAAAATCTTTTAAAAAGCCCATGTTGCGCCTGATAAGTTCAAATCTTTAACTTGGCAAAACATTTGGAACCAAGGTATGTCAAACGGGCTAATTTAGAGAATGCACCCAAAACCCAAGATGCATGCTTCCCATGGAATTGAAATTTGGCAATTTTAAAAGAACATTTTAGGACATTTATCATAAAGAGATTTATGACATAATGCAAAATGTCATTAAACATTTCTTGTGCTGATATTTGGACTGTGTTATACAGTTCAACACGGGTGACTTTTCAGGCACCGCTGAATGTATCCCAACTTTCCCAATGAAGGCAGGACGTTAGAAGTCCAAAGCCTTGAGGAATCCACGGTAGGGAAATGGTTGGGAAAGGAGCGGGAGGTTGTCTGGGTTTTCAAGAACAAGAAGCAATGGTGTTGGTTTCCTCTGAGGAGGATTCCTGCCTCCCATTTCACCACCACCACCACCACCAAGGGCTCCGTCTTCCCCTGTTGCTCCAAAGGGCCCTTTTGCCCAAACGCCTGAAGACCCTCTAAAACTCAAGGGGCTTCCACTGCCCAAGAGCCTCTCCCAGCCACAAACGGGAAGAAGGTTTGCATTGGGCCCACCTCCCTTTCACCTGGGGAGGGGGGAGCTTTCAAAACTCCCCCCCCCACCCCGAAGCCGCCCTCTCCCTTTTAGGAACATTAAGCGCATCTTCTGTGGGTTTCCTCATGAAATCACACCCGCGTGTTACATCTAAATTACGGCCGTTTTATAAATGGGTGCTCAAAGGCACGGCCAGGTGGGAGCTCCGGGGACAGGAAGCGAGGCCGAGCGGCGGTGGCGCGTCCCTTGAACCACCCGGGGCCTTGACTTGGCCCGCGGGGGAGCGGGAGCCCTCTAGGGCGGCGGGGTTCTTTCCTCCTCCGGCCGGGCAGGGCAGGGCAGGGCAGGTCCTTCCACCCCAGGCCTCCAGCCCTTGCCAGGGAAGGCAGGACCCACGCCCGGCCCCCAAGCCTCGCCAGGGGAGGAATCAGCCGGGCCAAGGAGCCGGCCCAAGCGGGAGAGGCTCGGCTGGCCGGTCCCGTCCTACGGAGGGGCTCCGGCCACGGGCGTAGGGCAAGGGGGGGGGGCAGCCCCGAAGGCAGCAAAGGCGGCTTCCCCCGCGGGGATGGAGAGGCTCCCGCTTTCCCGCCCGCGGAACTGTGCCGGGGGCAGAGAGGGACTCGGTCCCCGGGCGGCTCCCCGGGGCAGCAGGCGCACTCCCAGGGGAGCCTCCCTCGCCCGAAGGGGACCCCGCACTTCCCACCCGGGACCCGGCCTGGCCCACCGGAGGGGCGGGCGGGCAGAGGGTCTCGAGCCAGAGATTCCCCCCCCCCCGATGGCCCCCCCACGCGCCCGGCCACGTGGCTCCCCCGCCCGGACTCACCTGCCGAGGCCGCCCGCCCGCCCTCCCGGCCAGGCTGCACGCGTCCAACCGGCTCCTCCGCGGGCCCCTCCGCGCCGGCGACGGGAAGTGACGTCATGCGCCGCGCCGGCCGGGCCTCCCGACGGGACCACGTGCCTCTGCGGGAGAGGCGCTCGGCGCCGACCCCGCCCCCCGGGGAGCCCCGCCCCCGCGAGCCCCCCAAGCCGGGGGCCCCCCCCCCCCCCCCCCCGGGCCCGCGCGCCCCCCCCACGCGTCGTCGAGGGGGGGGCGGGGCCGGGGCGGCCCCCCCCCCCCCCCCCCCAGGGCCCGGCCGCGCCCGGCGGGGGCCCCCCCCCCCCCCGACCCGTCCAGGGGACCTTCGGCTCTGTCCTTCCACCCCCCGCAGCCCCAATTAAAGATGCCCCCCCGTGTGTGTTGGGGGGATTTTATCCTCCGGCCGGCGCCCCTTCACCCCCCTCGGCCAGCAGGTCCGGCAGGGCTCGGGGGGGGGGGGAGCGTCCGGGCAGCCCCCCGATCGACCAGGCCCAGGACGCCCCCTGCCCACCTGCCGGGGGCTGAAGCTGCAGGGCAAACGAAGGGCTTTCCTCCTGGACGTGACCCCGGGCCCTGGAGCAGCCGCCCCAGAGGGCAGAAAGCGGGAGGGGTGTTCTCTGGGGCCGGTTGTCTGGGCCTTCTCGGGAGGGGAGCCGAGGCCAATGCAGAGACTCCCATTGTCCTGGGTCCTCAGCTCCCCCCCGCCCCGCCTTGTCTTGGACCAGGCAGAAGTTGGGACACCAGGGGAGGGGAGTATGGAGGGGGAGCAGCTGGTGGGTCCTGGGAATAGGGCTTTAGTTCTGGGGCTGATGAGGTGGGCCCAGCTGCTACAGGAGCCGTTTTCCCTTCTCTGGCACCCAGGAGAGCTGCAGTCTCCAAGGACCCACCCAGAAAACCTCCCCCCCACGCCATGAACCGTACCAGGCTAGACAGAGCTGCCCACTGGCAGGTTTCTTTCTTGGCAAGGGAAGCATCCCCTCCAGAACCAGTGCTGGGGGAGGCCTGGGGCTGCACCAGGGGTCCTGGAGGAAAGGGGAGGAATGGAGCAGGCCCAGTGAAGCTGCATCCGAGTGTGCTCTGGCCCTCCCCTTGCCAGTGGTTCTGGGGGCCCGGAGGGGCCGCAAAAGGAATCCAGAGGAATTGCCAGAAAACACTTTTACTGGACCAGAGTCAAAAGCATTTGTCTGAATTACACAAGGCCAACGAAGCCAGACACCCCCACCTTGTCCTCTTTCTGTATAAGCACAGCGAGGTCACCTCCAATCTCCCCACCCCACAAAAGCCAGTGATGACAGTGGTACATTCCTTCCATGCAGTCTGCTGCTTCCAAAATAATATTAAAGGTACTTGCTATCTGCCACCAGTAGCTCAGAGCAGCTCACAGAAAAACATAAAAGAGGGTGCCTGTTTAAGAAACAAGGAAAAAACATCCAAAGCCCCCTCCTCAGCCGTAGGCCTTGGGGGCCTCGGAGATGCTCAAAGGCTGCTGCTTCTGCGGGTCAGAAAGAGAGCAGGCTAGTTGAGTTTGGCCCGCTGAAGCCTTTGTGCTTTTGCTTTTCTGCCGTCCCGGATCATCCTTACTGGCTCGGGAATTGCTGTGAGGCCAGAAGGTGGTCAGTTCCATAGGCAAGGGGGATGTGCGGTGTGGGTGCCTGCATCGATTTTTCTTCCAGCAGCTTCCTAGCTGGATTTGTGCAAAACGGGGTCTAGAACCGACTCCTGGGGAGCCCTGCACAGCCTGCTAAGCCACACCAGAATGAAATCAACGTTTAACTAACCTAGTTTGTCGTTTCCGGTTGCAGCCCTGGAATGGAATGTGTGGGTGGCCTGGGGGAAGAAATGCTGTTGGGAAAAAGAAGGGCAGGAGCCCCCAGTTGTCTTAAGGTCAGAGGAAGAAACTTAGGAAGGACCCTCTCTGCATTATCAGGCTAAAAAGGGGGCGGGGGAGAAAATGGTCCTTTCAGGCTTGCAAGATTCTATCACTTGATTAATGAGGTTGGCAAGTGAAAGGTAAGAAGAGGGGAGGGGAGGCTTGGCAAGATGGCTGCAAGCGGGAACTGTTTTAAGCAGCAAAAGCGGCCAATCAGGAAGGCCAGGCCATTTGCAGACGGTGGATGTTTCCGTTCAGTGACGTGCAGGGGAACCGTCCCAACCTTCCGAAGCAGCTTCGACTCCAGGCTCAGTTTTGCTGTCAGTCACTGGTTTCTCCTGGGCTGAAAGTGACAGCAATCCAATTGGCCCATTGCTGCCAGTTTCGAGTGGCAAGCAGGGCCAACCAGGCTGAGCAGGAGCACATGCAGGCCCTTGGGGTGGGAGCAGCCCTTGCCAGCCCCACAGAGGACGGGTCCTGGCACCAGGTGGGCTCGCCCAAGTCCAGCGTAATTCTCCTGAGCTGCCAGAGAAGTGAGGCTGGTCCGTAGATAGGCTCTGCCTCTCACAGCCAGCAAGACACTCTTCAAAAGAGCTCTCAGGAAGAAGGTGGCCGCAGGTGCCTAGGAGTCTGGGAAGGGATCTTAAGAGGTGGCCAGACAATCGGACGCCTATCCTTCCATTGTCCAGAAGGAATCGACGAGTGAGTATTTCAAAGCACGGCATCTTTGCCCGGTTCAGCCCGAGAGCAGAAGGCGGGATAATGGAAGGCTCCAAGGACCCCAGAACTTCATCCCCACTACTTGACGCTGCCCTTACAGAGAGACACAGCACAGATCTGCAAAGGAGGGGGGCCAGGAGGCTCTACTGCCCGGAGAGGGCATCGGGGCAAGGCCAATGTTTGCTCAGGGACACCGAGGCCACATGCGCTGGCAGGCGAGGCAAAGTGATCTGGCCACAGCACCAGAGGGCAGGTTTGGCCAAAGTCACCACTTCACCGGAAGAACCGGACACCGATTCTAAAGCATGGGGAGAGAGAACGAACGTTGTGGTCTGGAACTGCTTCGTGGCCTCAGGACCTGGGCAGCCCTGAAGCCTTCATTGTACCCCCAGGGGATGCCTGCGGGGTAGCAGGAGACCATCTCTCGGGGGAGGGGAGCTCAGCACGAAGGGGACCGGGCGATGGATCAGTAGGTCCACCGAGGCAGAGCTGAGAAAAAGAACCGCAGGGTGTGGGGGAAGGCCCAGTCAAGCCCACCTCTAAATCCCACCCAGGGGCCAAGTTGGAACAGGCTGCGTGTGCAAGACCTCAAGCTTTGCACAGCGAAAAACACAGGGCATGGAGGCGAGGGGAAAATCCTCCCCCTCCCCACCTGCATGTCAGAGGGTAGGAGGCAGAGTTACAAAAAAAACGGCCCTCTGAGGTTGCTTCAGCCAAAGGGGGAGATAAAGGGGGGAGGGGAGTTTTTCCACAGAAGGGAATCGTGCATCCATTAATTTTGGGTTGAATACAAATGTTGATTGCCAGCTAATTTTTCACATTTGTTCAGTTACATCCCCCTTATACATTGCTGGAAGAAAGATAAATATGAATACGTCTCCCTACATAAAAGAAAAAAGAAACAAAACCTTACATGGGGGAGGGGGTGCTCTTTCCATGACTTCCCAAGGCTGCCCCCCTCCCCCCTCCAGGGGAACCAGGCTTGTGGCTCAGTGCACTTCCCGGAGGGCAAGAGCGCCCCCGTGTGGGAGAGGGAGGGAAACAGCTGCAGGGGAGGCCAAGAGGGGGACAGACCTCCACCTGCTGAGCTCCCCCACCCACCCACACTGGGCACCGAAGGTGGGCAGCCGTAGTGCCGTCAGGCTCCAGGGTAGCCCAGGCCAAGGGCCAGCAGGGTGGCCCACAGAGCCAGCCCCCTTCGGGGAACCGAAGGGCAGCCTTGTTGGATCAGGCCAAGGCCCAGGTACCTGTCCAGCATTTGGTCTTCCAGGGGCCTTTGGGGCGCTCTTCAGCGGCCCCCCTCCCCCTCCCTTGAGCCCCCACCCCCCACCCCCGTCTTACGGCAAGATCCTCACAGCAGGCCAAGTGAGGGTGGTGGCTTCGTGGGCTGCTAAGCTCTTCCTCGCGGCTCCTGCAACCAGCCCGGCTACCACCCCGGTACAACTCCCGCCAGGCCAGGGTGGGGAGAGAACCGAGGCGGGGCTGGAGCCAGGCCTGGGGGAGACCGGCCGGCCCAGGACTGAGAAAGGGGAGGGCGCCGCTTGGGCAGGGGGCTCTGCTGACAGGCAGCTCTCAGTGCTGCCTTTGTCTTACTTAGCCAAGTTACATCACAGATCGGAGGCGACTCCTGGCAGCTGATGACGTTTATATATCCAGCTCATAATAATAATTAAAAACCCCATAAAAAAACCATCCCCCCCCCCCCCCCCCCCCCTCGGGCAGAGCCAGCCAGCCCCGGCAGCCAATCGGTGTCCATCTCTGTCCGTGAGGGATGATTCAGGAGACGACGAAGCCCAAGTGACCAGGAGACGCCATGAAGAAACCTCCTTTATTTCGGAGGGCCCCCGCTGAGCTCCCCCCTCCCCCCCCTCAGGCCTCCAGGTGCCTGGTGAGGCGGCGCAGCTTCTGCTTCTTGTTCCTGTTCCCGTGTCTCTTCCACGGCTTCCCGGCTCCATCGGCCAAGCCAGGCCCAGAAGGGGAGTGGGCAGCCACCCCTGCTGGGTAGCCCAGCCCGGCCCGGTTGCCTCTGGTCAGGGCCTGGACATTCTCCTGCAAGACAGGCACAGCCTTCAGGCCCCGTCCAGCCCAATGCCGCACCCGAAGGGGCTGCTGGCTGGGGGGGATCCCGGAGGGCAAACTCCCCCCCCCCCGGATCTGCCCAGGAAGCGGCTGTGCGAGGGGACCACGGGGGGGGGGCGGGGGGGAGCCCTGGATGGGCCACCTCAGGCACGGTTTCTGGAGAACCAGCCTTGGCCCACCGGGCGGCCCCAAGAAGGACCCCCGGCCCCTCTAGCAGCCTGGGAGCTCTGCTTGGAGCGGAGCCCTTGTCTGCTGGCGTTGCCGTGGCTGCGTTGAGTTCAAGGGCCCAAGACTGCCAGCCGGGTCGCGTTTGCACAGCACGTTAACTTGGTTAGTGTTAACCTCGCTTAATTTAGGCTTCCTGCCCTCTGCAAAGTGAGCTTCCAGCTCAAGAGACTGTGGAAGCCCAGACAACGTGGTCTGTGCCGGGGAGGGAGGGGTCCCGAGGGCGAGGAAGGAGAGGTGGGACTTCGGGGGGGGGGGCAGAGGCACGCAGGGAAGGCAAATGCCAGGGCGGCAGGTTCACCTGGGTCAGGGAGGGGAGGAAGACGAGGGGCCCCCGGGCACATCAGCCGTCCTGGTCATCTGCAGTGCTCCAAATCCTGAAGGCTTCACCCCACCCCAACCCACCCCCCGCAGAGAGAAGCAAGACCAGGACCACCAGCCCCCCGAGGCCTCCCAGGGCCTCACCTGGCGGAAGAAGGCCGCATCCACCGGGTTCTCCACCTGCTTTGCCTTGGCGCCCCTGCCAGGCGGCTGCTCCCCATTACGCTGTGTTGCTGCTGCTGCTGCTTTGCTGGGACGAAGCCGCTGGAGCCCCCGCTGGAAGAGCTCGGCATCCGTGCCCGGAGGCGGGTGGCAGTAGAGCAGCTTGCCCTGGGGGGGAGGCCAAGAGCAGAAACGCTCAGAAGGAGCCGCCTGCCCGCCGGGCGGCCCCCCCCCCCCCCGCTCCCTGCCCAGGCAGCCAGCCAGCCAGCCGGCATCCCACGCGGCCTCAGCCTCCCCATCTCCCATGGGGTTAAACCAGGGCAGGCTGGTCTGGGCTTGGGGGAGAGGAGGGAAAGCAGGCAGGGGGGGTTCTCTAGCAGCCCCGAGTCAGAGCAGCCGGGCCGGGGCGGAGGGGGATGCCAGCGCCCGGCCTGTGGGCTCGGTCAGCAGCGGACGGCTGGCTGGGCAGTGGCTGCTGCTGCATAGGCCCAGTTCTCTTGGTCTGCCCCCCCCCCCTTGGGTCAGGGATCCTGGAGGAGCTTCTCCTGAATCGCGGGGGGGGGGGTGCAGAGCCCCCCCAGTGGTCAAGCAGGACCGAAGGCCCCTCCACGCCCTCTGCTCCAAGGCTGCCCAGGAGCCCCCAAACGCACCTTGACATAGTCCTTCAGCACCAGGCGGGCCGAGCGCGGCTGGTCTGGCTGCCCATGGTCCGTCATGAAGCCCCTCATGCCTGTGTTGGGGGGGAGGAAGCGAGAGGCCGGGGGTCACCACACCTGCAGCACAAGCATCGCCAGGGCCTCTGCTGGGGAGGCAGGGGGGCCAGGCCAGAGCTTAGCCTAAGCCGGCCCCTGGGCCCTATCCGGGCTGTGTCCCTCCCCTTCCCAGGAGACCCAGCGCTGGGGGAGGAGGAGGAGGAGACCTTCCCCTGGAAGAGCTTCCCAGAATCTGCCCTGGGGGAGCCAGTCCCCCCGCTTCCCCCCCCCCCTTTTGGCTCCCGTTTTCTCCGCCGCAAGGTTCCTCTTCCCCCCCCCCCCCCCAACCGTACCCGGCCCCCCTCCCCCCGCCCCCCCCCCCCCAACCGGTGGTCCAAGTGGCAGCCCCCCTCCCCGGCCTCGTCCCCCTGCCGCTTGTGGACTCAGCCCACACCGGTCCTGCCCAAAGAGCCTGGCCCTGCACCCTCCGGGGCCTCCCGGGGGGGGGGGCTCTACTCACAGCCCAGGGCCGAGAGCAGCTCCTCTGGGGTGGGTGTCCGGTCAGGGTCTTCGTCCTCACGTGGCCGGAGGATGCTGATCCCATAGGTGGCCTCCAAGACTGGCCGAGGGATCCGTTGGCAGATGTGGGGGGGGGGGTGAAGGAAACGCCTGTGGGACAGGGACCCCTTTCCCTCTTGAGACCCCCCCCCCCCCCCCCCCCCCCCCCCGCGCGGGCCTCCCCCTCCCCTGCCCACCCGCGGGACCCCCCCCCCCCCCGCGTAGCCATGGGCATGAGGAAGGATATGAGGCTGACGGGGGGCACGTGGTCGCGCAGCTGGTCGATGGGCAGGATGCCGCTGCAAACCATCTCGGCTTTGGTGGAGACGAAGGAGGGCATCACCAGGCCAGGGCAGTCACAGAGGCAAAGGGAGGGCTCCACGAACAGCGTCTGCAAAGGTGCCCCCCCGCCCCCCCGGCTCAGGAAAAGCCTCTCCCTCCTGCAGGTGAGGAGGGAGGGGGCCGGCCGGCCGGGGCTCCGTGGGCCTCCCCATCCCAGGGCTTCTGCACCCAGACACCCCCGCTTGTCGCCACCTCCTGGGCTCTCCCAAGAGGAGGAGGGGGCAGCCAACAGGGAGCAGGAAGGGAAATCCAGCCCCCCCCCCCCACGTTGGGGCAGAGGCCAGGCCTTTCCCGGGGGGAGAGATGGGGTGGGGGGCACCAAGCAGGGTGAGGGGGGCAGGGATCTCTGGCCCTCAGCCCACAGAGCTCCTGGCAGTACCTGGAAGTGCTTCGTGCGTCCCGGCGTGGTGGAGACAGACACCTTCTTCTTCCCAAGGAGGGTGTTGATGGTCGAGCTCTTCCCAACGTTGGGGTAGCCCACCTGGGGGTGGAGGGAGGGGTGGAGGGAGGGAGGGGCCGGAGCAGACTCTGGTCACTCCAGGGAGCCTGGCCTGGCTGAGCCACGTCTGTGTGAGCCGGCTGCTTTTCAGGAGGGGGCTTCTTGGGAAAAGGGCCGGAAAGGGCCAGGCGGGGCCCCTCCCAGGGAGGGATGGAAGCTGCAGGAAGGCAGCTCCCCAAAGGGACCCCCCACCCCCCCAAGAAGAAGATGAGGTGCCTGACAAGCCCAGAGGGTCCCCTTCAAGGAGGGGCTGCACAGGGGGGGAGGTCTGGACCGGGATTCCGGCCCCAGCAGGAGCCCCTCCTCTTTGGCCCCAGGAATTGGAAGGAAGGAGCGAAGCGCGTAACGGGCTGTGAGGGAAAGTGGGCTGTGCTGGAAGAGGTCCGACTGCGGACAGTGAAAACGCTGCTTCCAAAAGGGACATGAGGAGGGGAGCCCCCAGCAGCCCCCCACGCTCGAGGCCTGCAACTCAGCAATGAGGCAAAGTGCTTCGTGTCGTGTCGTGTCCCCCCCACTCCCACCGCCCAAGAAGCCTTCCCCAGCGCTGGGCACAGGGCCCTCCCTTCCCCCAGCACAACCTTTGGCCATCCGGGACCAGGAGCGAGTCCCACCTCGCCTCCCCCTTGCCCCGCAGGGAGGGAGGGAAGGAGGGAGGGAGCCAAGCGGAGGGAAGCCCTGGTGGCCGGTGTGTCCCCAGGGCAGCCCGTAACTCACCAAGCCAACGGTCAGCTCTCCCTCTCTGACCTTCCTCCTCCCAGCGTGGACGGCTCTGAATATCTCCAGGAGCTCCTCCCTTTGCACCAGGCGGCTGCTGTTTCTGACGGGCGGGGCCAGTTGTGAGAGCTCAGCCCTGCCTCTCCCCACAGGCACACGGGGGCTCTCTTGCTCCCCATCTTCAGAGCAGGTCAGCCAGGCTTCCTCCTCCTCCTCCTCCTCCTCCTCGCAGTCCTCGTACACATCACCAGCTTCCTCCTCTGTGTCGCTCTCCTGCTGGGTGCCGGAGGGGCTCCCTCCCTGGGCGCTCTGCTCCTCCTTCAGGCTGAACCTGGCCGCTTCCACGGTTTCCAGCTCCTGAGCAAAGGACAGGGGACACCTGTGGCCAAAAGCCACAGAAGAGACCCTCCTGGGCTGGCTTCCCCCCAGACTCCATGCCTCAACCCCCCCCCCCCGGCCAGAGAGGATGTGGCTGCAAAGCCCTCCACCACTGAGGTGGCCCCGCCGCCCGAGGGGAGCCCAAGGAAAGCCCGAGGGGGAGGGGAGAGGACCACAGGGGTCAAGGCGGGTCCACGCAAGGGCAGGAAGTTTGGGCCCCACGTGACCCTCCGGTCTTTGGGGGGGCCAGCAGGGCTCCTTCGCCCACCCACCGCCCCCCGCTTTCCTCCCCGCTCTTACCTTGGGGCTGGCCCCCAGCCGGTTCCCCTCTGCCAAGGCCGACCAGAAGACCACGTGGGCTCCTTCCCGCTCAAAGAACCGGGCCCAGGCCGAGCGCTGCTCCTCCCCCAGCAGGTCCGCTTTGTTGAGGAGGAGGAGGTTCTCCTTCTCCGGGCTGATTTCCTTGGCGTAGCGTTCCTGCAAGATACGCCAAGCGAGGGGAGAATGGAGGGGAGGGATTCCCACCACCACCACCGTCCCTTCACAAGGTGCCCTGGAAGAGAGTCTGGCAGCTGGACTTTCTCCTGGCCAGCAACTGTCAAGTCCAAGGAAGCACAGGAGAACCGGGAGCCGTGGAAGTGCCAACGCCACACAAGAGCCACCCCGGGGGCTGCATGTCCGGCTCCATGGAGGGAGGGAGGGAGGGAAAGAATGGGAGGGGCCCCTTGGCAGGACGGGAACAGGGAGGAGGACGGGGCCCACCTCCACCTTTATTTCCATTTATTCCTTAAAGGGGGTCTGGGCTTAAGTGGACGTAACAAAGAAAGGATCGGCAACCCAACATGGCTGCCCAGGGAATAGACGCCAGCGATTTGGTCACGCTGAAAAGAAGCAACCCGAAGGAGAGCTCCGGGCTGGACAATTATCCGATCTGGAGGGCAGCCACTGGGGTCCTCCCAAGGCTTAGGGGCGTCTGCGGTCGTGAGCAGAGACACCCACAAGATGAGCCTCACCTGGGGGGCAGCAGCACCTGGGGGGGGGGAATCCCCCGAGGGGAACTTTCTGGGAAGCGAGGATCTCAGGGCTTCGGTGGATCACAGCCCAAATGTGAGCCAAGAGTGTGAAACAAGCAGGAGAGTTTAACACCTCTTGCTCCCCTCTAGCGGCGCTGCTCCGATCGCACCCACAGTCCAGTTCTGAGCACTTTCTGGAAAGACATCGCAAACTGCCGAGAGGGGAGTTCAGAGGTCCCGTCAGAAGGGGTGCCTTCACAGAAAGAGCCCTGGGCGCTTGGTAGCAACTTCCAGAGGAGGTCGCGGGTCAACGGTCAGAAACTGAGTTTAAACATGCCTGGGGGGAACCTATGGCTATCATCCAACAAAAATTTACAAATAATACATCAATAAATAAGAAAACAGCAGCAACAAAACTTAAAGGGTGGGCTCTGTGGACCCCAGCTCTCCTTCTACCATCCGTTTTCTCGGTTTCTACGTTGCCCACCAGGGGCCTCTCCAGAGGAGAGCAACCAAAACGGGCCTGGAGGGGAAATTTAGGAGACACGGGGCTTGTTTGAGAGGCGAGAAAGCTGCCCTTAAATATCTGAAGGGCCTTTGTGGAGAAGATGGGGCAGAATTGTTCAGAAGTATTCCGGAAGACAGAACAAACATCAGTGGGCTCCCATCACAAGGGAGCTGATTTTGGCTGGAGCTCAGGAAATGTTTTCTTCGAGTAGCAGCTGTTTGGCAACGGAAGAGACACTTCAGGAGGAGGGGGGAGTTCCCTCTGTTGGAGGCCTCTCAAAGGGCTGCCTGTTGGGGAGTCCGGCACGGGGAAAGGGAGGCGCTGGGCCAGAATTCAGGCATCTCCAACTCGGGCAACTTTACGGCTTGCGGACGTCGCCTCCCAGAACGCCAGCTGAGGAAATCTGGGAGTTGACGTCCACAATTCGTACAGTTGCCAAAGTTGGAGACGCCGGGACTAAATTATCTGCGGAATCAGACGGTTCTGCAGTCACGGTCATGAAAGGATGAGTTGTCTTCAGGCCGGAAGTCACGGCCACAAGAACTTCCTTCTTGTTTCCGAGGGAGGAGCCGCCTCTGTTCAGTCACATGAAATGACGCCAACTTATATTTACAAACATCGTTGCCCTGTGACATCAGTTGGACGATGAGTGTCACCACGCACGATCCTCCCAGGGAATTCCTCCCCTGTTCACTGAGATTTTTCTCCTGACGGGTGGAGGTCAGCTATCCCCTATTAACCAACAGGGACAGTTTAGTGAAGGAACCGGAACAGTGGAAAGACCGGAGGAATGGGACTCTCTAGCCCGTTTCTCGAAGGGAACCAGAACTGCATGCAGCCCAACATGTATCTTGGGTTTAATTCCAGGGCTAGACAGTCCCATCGACTCCACCCCCGCCCCATGACTGTAGCCTGCCAGGCCCTCCTAAGCCTGGGGAGCGCCCCGATGGCCGTCCCTCCAGTTCGGATAACCGCCCAGCCCCTTACGGAGCCTCAGACTCTGCCTCTGGCCGCGTCTTTTCAGCTTGGCCCAAATCGCTGGCGTCCATTCCCTGGGCAGCCAAATGTCTTTTCTCCATTTTTTGTTTCTGTTTTTGTTACATCCGCTTAAACACAGTTCCCCTTATAAGGGATAAATGGGAACAAAGCGGGAGGTGAGCCCCGCCCTCCTGGCCTGTCACTGGGCTAGCAATGGTGAGCAGAGCCTCTTGGAAAGAGAGGATAAGAAGCGCAGGAGGAGGACAAGCACAGCCCAGGGGGCAAAGGAAGGAGGCGAACAGGTATGCCACAACTGCAAATCCCCAGGGAGGAAGAGAAAGCTCAGGAGGAGGAGGAGGAGGAGGAGGAGGAGGGTGAAGGATTGATTAACTTATCCAATTTGTAAGCCACCCGTCTCACCAGAGGCCGCGATTCTAAGGACGGTAAGCATAAAAAAAGAGGGTGGAAATGCCAGCTCTGCTCAACAGGGAAGTCTAAAGACCAAGGGGTGACCTGCTCAAGGCCTATTTTGGGTCACCCTTCGCCCCCCCCCACCCCCCCCAAAGATGAAAAATGCCACCAGAAGCCGGACCGAAGGTTGAAGCGGAGAGAAACGCCTCTTTCCACCTGCAGGAAGCCAGGGGAGGAACTGGGGGGGGGGGGCTCCTCTCCGCATCGGAAAAGCCTTTGTGGCTGAAGGGCAGCCAATAGCTGGAGCAAAGCCACGCTGCCCCCCTCTTGGAAGGCAGGGAAGGAAGGCAGGGCAGACGAAAGACACGGATCTCCCCGAGGCAGAGGGAGAGAGGTGGCAAGGGCCCTCGGGAGGCAGGCAGGCAGGCAGGCAGGCCACAGGTGGAGGAAAGGCCACTCAGGCCGCCTCGGGAACAGGTGGGGCAAGACCGGAAGCCTTTCCCAAGGGATTCTCCTCTCCCTCTAGTCCTCGAAAAACTAGGGAGGGTCCCTCGGGAAAGGGTTTTTGCCTCCTAAGCTGCGGCTCCTCCTCCTCCTCCCGTCCCCCAAGGTCCCCCCCGGGTGGCACAGCATCGCCCGGAATGACCTGGAGGCACCCCAAAAGATGTCATGGCCGCAAACCAGCATGGGCCTTTCAAGGAATTTCATTTTTGATTTGGTAATGCCCACAGCAGACTGTTAGGAATGCTACAACTTTAGAAAAATAATCCTAGAAGTAGGAGGTTCTGGATAATGGAACCACATAACCCACAATGATGATTTGGATTTTCTTTCGCCGGGTATTTTAAGGCAAAGGCTAAGCAGGCTTTTATTTCTGCAGGAAGCCAGGACTTGGCTCCTATCGTCTAAACCGCCCCTCTGAGCTCCGTCATGCCTGGTTCCTGCTCTTTACTAACTGAGCAATACATCATCAGAGCTCAGTCGGACTGCCCTTCACGGCATGTGAGGCTGATTGGGAAATCCAGCATGGACTGAGGAAGTGACCGACACAACCAAGGTTGGTGTTCAGAGCTGGAACCCGAAGGGCCTGAAGGCAACCCTGGACCCCAGGACGATGCATCCCTGTGCACCAGGAAGCACCCCAGGCCCGCTGCCCCCCATCGCTATCAGGCCTCTTGCGGCCTGGTGCTTAGGACACCTGGGGCTCTTGGCTGTCTTCTCTGGGGGGGCAACCTCACGAGATCAGAGGAACGACCGGGGAGGCAGGAGAGCTGTGGAGACGCCACAGGCGAACTTTTCCACTTTAAGAGGAAACCCTATACCTGAAATGATACAGGGCTTGCCGCTGAGCAGGGGGTTGGACTAGATGACCTCCAAGGTCCCTTCCAACTCTGGTATCCTGTTAAGAGGCTGAAAACCTCCAGGTTGCAGTCACTACACTTTTTGCACGAGCTGCTGCTGCTGCTGCTGCTGATTCAGCCATTCTGTTTTCACATTTACCAATTTATGTCCTCAGTTGCGACAGATCAGAAACCCCTTTCTGCCCACCCAGGAGTCACCTGTCCCTGGTTCCAGGCCCCAGGGGAGCTGTGGGTCACACCCCACAATTTTCAATCCATGGGACACTTTCCTAGCTGGGAAGTCAGCTTCTCCTCAGGCCCCCTGGGGCTTTATCGAGGCTCTTGTTAAACGCCACCCATTTACGGTAAACCACGCACCAATCTGTCTTGCTAGCCCCTCCCCAAAGCAGTGGTTAGCACCTATACAGATCTGAGCAGCTGAGGGGCAAGCCTGATGGGCTTCCAGGTTTGTGGCTTCCAGTTAGTTCTCTGGAACATCCCATCATGTTCAGTTTTCCTCCCTGAACGTGCCAGCCTGCAGGGCTCGCTTGCAGTTTTCCAGAACTACGCCTCCTGGTCCAGGAAGGGGCTGGTCATGGCCTGGATATGGCCCAGGCAGTGAAAGCAGGACGTTCTTGGAACCCTGGGACATCCCGTCCCTGCAACAGCGAGCTTCACCCGTCCCTGGTTCCAGGCCCCAGGGGAGCAGTGGGTCACACCCCACAATTTTCAATCCAGGGGACACTTTCCTAGCTGGAAGCCCCTAGACGGTGGGCATGAATGGGTACGGCCCACAGCTGAAGCCGTCTCCTTGGGACAGCTGCCAGTTTTAATAATGTGGACTGGCCGGAAGGCAGGATTCCTGGCTCCCTGTGCATCCGGTCCATTTGTCCACGTGACAGAACGTTGGTAAAGTTTGACAACATCCTGCCTGTCTCAAAAGAGCCAGCAATTCCTTGAGGTGCTTCATTCTGACCTGTTATTTGTGTGAGTGGAAGTCTTCGGAAGAAACCAAAATACACAATTGCTAATTTTTCAAGCACCAACCTATTCTATTCCCACCTTAATTTTGGAACATGGGCGACTTTTAGCAGGCTCCTGATGCACAAAGTGGAGCTGCTACCTCAGTTTGTTCTACTTACCAGATCTGGGCATCTGAACAGGAGCGGGTTCCTGGCATCCACGATCTGAACCACAACATCGCTGCAAAAGAGAAGGCCAGAGGCGCTATTCCCTCCGCTTGAAGCACACCCTGAGCTCACCCCCATCTCGCTCTCGCCGAGGACAGAGGGCTCGAGGCAGCCCTGACCCACGGGATCCCAGCATGGAGCCCGAGGAAGCAGCCAGCCTACACACACACACACACACACAAACACACACACACAGCCCGCAGGCAGGCGAGAGCAGCCCTACCCCCCACCCCCCCGGTTCCCAAGGCTCTTCCTTCATGGCAGGAGGTCCTCTTGCCAGGGCCACCCGGCTCAGGCTCTGCCAAGAGCCTCCTGTCCACAAGGAGACCCCTTTTCACCCTCCCACCTGCTCTGACAGGCAGCCTGAGCCTCCAAGGAGAGAACCTGCCTGGGCCCAGGAGGCGGGCTGGACTATCACAGCGTAAGCACAGCTACCTTCTCTCCAGGACCCGCCAGAGCTGACGCCAGAAATCCAAATTTCGCTCGAACGGGGTCAGCAGGAGGTTCTCCTCTTCCTCCAGCCTGTAAGAATGCAGGGGAAGAAAGAGTCTCGGGGATTTTAAGGAAGCACATTCAGAGATGGTTTTCTGGTTGGTTTCAATCACATTTTTATTTAATGAATGATACTATGAACTTGAGAGGCATAAATCCTGCAGAATAAAACACAGATCTGAAAGAGCAATTTTGTGAAGTCCATCATCTCTGACCCTTTTGCTGCACGAGATGCTGAACATCTCCTTCCGGGCTTCTGTCAGTTTCCCCTGGAGGCGCAACTTGGAGCTCCCTCCCCCCAGAGATTTGGGAGGGGAGTGTCCTTTTCCTTTGCAGGAGTCCTCTTCTCCCTTTGTTGGCTAGCTTTGTCCTCAGGGCTGTTTCTGCCATTTAATAAAAGCTTTGCTGCTATCTGAATTTTATTTAATGCTAGGCTTTTATTTTCAGTTGATTTCATTTTAAGGCTGGGCTATGACAAAATATGAAACAACACAAGGGCAATTTTTTAAACTGCTTCGTTCTGAATAATCTTGTTTAATGAGTGAACTTTCTCCTCCTGTCTTGAATGTTCAGTATATTGAGCACTTCTTGACATCAGTTGAAAAACCATCTCAAAGAAGCTCCCAACATGCCACATCCGTTTCTTTGTGGGGAGGAGAGCCTCTTTCGCTCGCTTCAGCCTCTTAGACTTGCTCAAGTGCTTTGAACTCATGACTTGCCTGTCTGCAAGTCTCTCGTTTTTTACATTTATAAATTGCTCAGACATAACTTTAAAAAAGGAAAAACATCATGAAAAGCCATTGCTGCAAACCAATGTCCATTACAGCCAAATACCAAGCTAATCCAATCCTAAGTTGCATTAACAGAGGGATACAATCGAGATCAAGTGAGGAACTAATACCACTCTATAAAGCCTTAGTAAGACCACACCTAGAGTCCTGCATCCAGTTTTGTTCACCACATTATAAAAAAGATGTTGAGACTCTAGAAAAAGCACAGAGAAGAGCAACCAGGATGATGAGGGGACCGGAGGCTAAAACATACGAAGAATGGTTGCAGGAACTGGGCCTGGCTAGTCTAGTGAAGAGAAGGACCAGGGGAGACAGGAGAGCAGCCTTCCAATATTTGAGGGCTGCCCCAGAGAAAAGGAAGGGGTCAAGCTATTTTTTAAAGCACCTGTAAGGCCAGACAAGGAATAATGGATGGAAACTGAACAAGGAGAGATTTAACCTGGAAATAAGGAGAAATTTTTCTGACCGTGAGAACAATCAACAAATGGAATAGAAGTTGCCCCTGGAAATTGTGGGAGCTTCATCCTTGGAAGCTTTCAAAAGTAGACTGGACTGCCATTTGTCAAAAATGGTGTAGGGTCTCCCGCTTAGGCGGGGTGGTTGGACTACATGACCTATAAGGTCCCTTCCAACTCTCATTATTTGTTATCTGCTACCAAATGGCATCAGCTGTCATATAGGTATGGAAACCATCTGGGTGACCTGGGCCCAGTCTTCCTCTCAGCCCAACCCTCCTCACAGAGTTATTGTTGAGGGAAAAATAGGAGGAAGCATCAGCTGCCTTGAGGTGGCAAAATACATATTTTAAAAGGGTCTGGATTAAGGTTTTGAGAGTTTTTCTGACTTCACATTAAACCTGGCTAAAGATTAAGGACGACCTCAGCCTTTCTTCTACCTGCCTCTGTTTTACTCTGTTTACTGACGAGGGCCTCCTAGAGCAATGATGAGGACACTTGTTTAAACCAAAGTATTTGTCTGCCGAGAACGTTATATAATTTCTGATTACATTCTTTTTTTTCTGTCATACTTGGGGGCTGAGGTGCCATAGCCCTTTTGCCCAGGTAGAAGGCAACCTTGATATTAACAATCCCTTCCACCAAAAGGATTAGACAACAAAGAACTTCAACTGCCTCTATCTCTGTCTCCAACAGATATGAGAGAACCACAGCCAAGTCTTGTGGGGTACCCCCCCCCCCCCCCCTTGGCAGTCTCCCCCAGTCCCAACTTCGGTTTCTCAGGGGCACGTTGTTGACTCCCTGAGCCAATGCCACTCACCAAGCAAGCTGCCTCCTCCACCTCAGGAAGCTGTCTCTTTCGGCCTGGTTCAATGCTGCAGGGCTTGTTTGTTCGTCCCATGGCGGCCTGGAAGGACAAAGCACAAAATGAACAAAGAGGTTTGGGCGCCACAAAAAAACACTTGCTTCAGAATAGTAGAAAATGATCTTGGAAGAGACAGTTTTGGTCATTGTTATGCCCCTGGTGGAGACTGACCCTGAGGGAGAGGAGGAACAGCCAACAGGGAGTGGAGGTTGTGGAGGAGGCTGGGGAAGGGCAGAGGAGTCAGAGGAGGACCCAGGCCCATCCCCTATCCATCCTAAGGCACGCAAGGAGGAGAGGATAAGGGAGAGACGTGGTCTACTTGGGAGGAGGGGGCCTTGATCCTCTTCATGGGCTGCAGGTGTGAGAACTGCATAAGAGTTTGGACCTGCGTTCTGGCAAACGCTGGAGACAAAGTGTGTTTTATTTGAGTTGGAGGCTATCTTGGTTGGCGTTCTTCCAACAGACTGTGCCTTGTTATCTTCTTGAATTTGGTAAATACTTCTGTTCCGTTGTGGAAATTTCATCATTGTAGCTTGTTTGCTTTTATTTTCACCTGTCTGCTCATTAAATTAGGACTGTATTGCTTTGTTTTGAAGACTATTTTTGAGTACATTTTATCTCCAACTGAGAATTATTGAACAGTGGGGCCAAGTTGGAGGCATTAAAGGACATTTATTTACATTTTGGATTTTGTTACGTTTGTTTACACTCTGGGTCATCACAGTAATAGAAACCAAGAGGCACTCGCTAGAGCAGCCTTCCCCAACCATTCCAGGTTGGTGGCCTGGGGTGGCGTGGGGTGGGGAGGATGGTTTTGTGTGCACGCTCACAGCTTCACTTGTGGGAGTGGGGTTGTGAGTGCCAGCACCCATAGCTCATGTAAGTCGAGCTGTGCGCACATATACCGGCCCAGTTGAAAGTAGGCCACAGCAGGGTAGTGGGCTACAGGTCGAGGACCCCAGAGCTGGACAGGCTGGAAAGGGAGCTGGACAGGCTGGGAAGTGACCTTCTGGTTGGTGAGCGTTTTAGGCGGTTCTTCCTGCCCCTCAGGGAAGACGGGGAGTAACTTTTCGCAGGCAGCTTCTATGGCCGAGAATGAATAGTTGAAAGGAACACGGAACAGAACTCAAAACATTTTGTATTTATCCAAAATTCACGGGAGGGCAGATTTCATCGAACAGTGAAAGAGCAGAAAAGCAAAACAAGTGATGGAAATGAAGCTCGAAAAGAGCCGGCTATCGGCTGCCGACAAGAGATGCAGCATCTTAGAACTGGAAGACACCCTGGAGGTCTTCTAGCCCAACCTCTTGTCCTGCATAAAGTCCTTCCTTGGTGGCCTAGAAAAAGGCAGGGCAAATACAAGAACACGTTCTATCCTTGTCTTTTAACGCAAGGGCAAAGATCTCACCCAAAGGATTCCCTTCCTACATAAGTCAGCTCAAGAACACAAAATATCACAAACTGTCAAGTCCTCAAAAATATTTCTTTACGGAAAATTATATTTTAAAAACCCAGGAGAGGCAGGGAAAAGATGCCAAGTCTTGCCTGTCATGATTCATGACCAGAGGACGAAACAAGGCGCAGAGCATGCGAGATTTCAGTTCACAGGCCCTCCTTCCTTCTCACAACCGCTGAGGTACAAATAGGAGGCCTGGCTTTGTGCTCAACCTATTCTTCACCATTAAGCAAAGCTCACAGGAACCTTGATAAGAACCTTGATAAGAACAGACAAAACGAGGCGCCTTTCAACCTAGTTGCCATTATCCAAGCTGCCCGCAGCTTCAGCAAGCTCACGTTTACTTGAGCACTAACGGTGTGATCACCGTCGGGGTTTATTATAAGCAGCTCAGCCTGAAATCGGCCAACAATCACAAAGCCCGGAAGAGGCGGAAGGAGGGAACCGGTGGCGGAGGGGCTGAAAGAAGCGGGGCCCGGGGAGAGACGCCCCCCGCCCGGCCTTGGCTAGGAGACCCCCGCCCCCCGCCGGTCCTCCGGAGCGGCCTTCGGGAAACGCACCTTCTCGGGATGCGCAGGACCCGCTTCTCCTCCTCCTGCGGCCGGCCGGCTTCCTCCTCCGCAGCCCCGCGGCCGGGGGCCAGGCGCGCGTTCAGCTTCTCTGCGGACGGAGAGCCGCGTCAGGCGGGCGGAGGCGGCCCCCACCCCACGCTGCCCTCCCCCCGCCCGGCCCGGCCCTCCTCACCTGCGGCGAACGCGGCGCCCGCCAGCTCCGCCGCCGCCAGGAAGGCCTCCAGCGGGCTCTGCTCCGTCACCGACTGCGGCGGGGGGGCGCGGCCCTGCTCGCTCAGCTCGCTCGTGTGGCGCTGCGGGGGGGGGGGGGGGGCCGCGCCGTTAGCGGGGGCCGCGGGGGGGGGGGAGACGCGCCGTTAGCGGGGGCCCCGCCCCCCCACGGGGAGGGAGGGGGGGAGGGGGTCAAGGAGGCTCACCCATCCCGCCTCGCCCGCCCGGCGGCCGCCGCCACGGAGGGAGCGCCCCAGTCCTTGCGCCTGTTTCTTCCCCATCGCGCGCTCGGCGCTTCCGGGCATGCGGCCGGGCGCAGCCAATCAGCGACGCGGACGGTAGCGCCTCCGCGAAGGCTCCGGGCGAAAACTGCGCTCCGCAAACCTTTAGTTCCGGCGGCGGCGGCGGCGGCGGCGACCTCACGGGGGCGCTGAAGGGCCGCCGCTCCTTCCCATTTGGTTGGGGGGCGGGGTGGGGGGGGCAGAGAGCTTCGGAGTACAAGGAGGACTAGAACCCTGACGCGGGGCAAGTGGGCTGGAAAGCGGCTAATCCGACCGTTCAGCCTTCCGGGCAAGGAACCCGGAGACAAAAGCGGGGTCGCCTTTTCACGAGACCCGCGCCGTCTCTTGCGCGTCGGCAGAAGGGGCAACGCCGGTGCCGCTTGGCTGTTTCTTTTGTCCAAAAAGGGCCGGTCCACCTTGTGGGCATCAGGGGACAGAACAAGACCCGCCGTAGCCCAAGCGCCAGGGGCCGCGGCTGCCCTCCGAACTCAGGCGGAGGCGATGCCGCTGCCCAGCAGTGGAATTGGTCCGACCGGCCGGGCAGGGGGGGGGGGGGGGGGGAGCTGCTTGCTGGCATGAGCGCTTGCACGTGCGCGTGTAAGGCGAGCCTGGGGAGTTTGTGGCTCCCTGCACACACCGGCTGAGCGCCAAAACGTCCGAAACGAGCTGAACACCTGTTATGGTGGGGGAGGCCTGGGAGTGCAAAGGATCCAGCAGAGGGAAGGAGAACTGGCCGGTCTCAAGGCACTTTCATTCCACCGAGCAGGTTCTGTGGTGGCTTTTAAGCTGAGAATGACAACGTTGGTTAGACACAGCTTTTAGGCCACTTAAGTGATCAGGTACTTCTCGACAAAGAAGGTCAAAGCCTCCAAGCTAAGCTGCCCAGCACTGGCAGGCAGCACATCTTGTCCTCATCCATTGCTAGGAAGAACCAGTGGGCTGGGTTGGGGCAGCGCCAAGAGAGGGAAGAGCACTAGCAGCCTCTTTCCACTTCCTGGGACCTGCCTGAGATCCTGCCCCGCCCCCCCCCAACACTCAGATCCTGTGGCTGAAAAACCTTCCGCTAGCCTGTGACTGAGCCCACCTCTACCTTCTCTTCTACCACAGCATACAAGGGGACAGGTGGTGTGTTTGTGTGGCACTGCTTCTCCTGCCCCTTGCCCATCTAGATTGGCAACCTCCCCCCATAGCAGACTCCATCCACTTAGCAGAAAAGGAGAAAAATCTATTGGTTTATTTTTTAGATTTGATTCCCACCTTCTGTTTGTAGCTCAAGGCAGGATACGTAATAATGTTTTCTCTTCCTGCTTTTCCTCACAACAGTTCTGTAAGGTAGGGCTGACTGCAAGTCTTAATGAGGGGGCTGATTGAGAGTGTGGGAGGCTAAAACATATGAAGGACGGTTGCAGGAATTGGGTGTGTCTTGTTAGATCGGTAGATCGGTTCCCACAGAGACGCGAGACCAAGTGTACATTCAGCTCTTTATTTCAGTATACAGACTTGTCCAAGATCTTGGAGCCGCGGCAGCCCTTCATATAGGGATGGCTCGGTGGCCAATGACAGGGCTTTGAATCTCCCGCAATCAGCTCAGCCGATTGCAGTTGATTCTTAGTGCGCCAATCACGGCCGTTCAGTTGACCAATCTGGTTGCGGTCCGTGTGGACCAATCAGGATTCAGTGTTTGGAGTATGCTAATATAGAACACCCCTCCCCTCTTGGTTCAGCTCGACGGAGCATGGTTACGTAGTCGCGCAGGTAGGTGGGGCTTCGTACCTGCCTACTTGACCTGCGCGGCTCAGTTGCTGCTTGGTCCTCGACTGGTTCGGACGGACTCCTCATCGCTCCAGTTCTCCTGGATGGAACCGCCTGGAAGGGTGAGCCGGGCCTACTGTGGTAGCTCCCACCCGGTCTACCCGGGTCGGTTGAGCTGCCGATTCTGCTGTTCCCGCCTGGTCTTTCCGGGCTGGTCGAACTGGCTTGGCTGCTCCTTCCAGGTGAAGCTCCTGGTTGTTTGTCTGTTGCAGGTTCATCATTTACCAGTGAGTATTGCTGGTTTATTTTGGCTTGGGGGTGTTCTGTTTGCGCTTTAGGATTTTCTTCTCCTTTTTCTTTATTGTTTGAGGTTCCCCCCCCCCCCCCTGGTTTCTTTATTAGTAGTTGTTTGCGGTGTTTGCGTGCTGTCGGTGTCGTCGGTGGCTGTTCTTGACCTTAGCTGGTCGATATGTCACTTCCAGCTTCGTCCGTCTTTGGTTTGTAGCCGGTAAGACCGGGGGCCCGTTACCTGGGTTATTTTCGCCGGTACCCAGAGTGGGTCCCCTGTACAATTTTTGGCATAGACGGCATCTCCAATGTTGAATGTTCAGTGTTTGCCGGATGAGTCTGGGGGTTTCTCAGGGTTGTATGTGGGGTGTAGCCTGTCTAACGGGGATCTTAGTTTTCTGCCCATGAGTAATTCTGCTGGGCTTTTATTTGTCATTGTGTTAGATGTTATGTGTTGTATTAAAAGCATTTTATTTATTTTTTCTTATATGTCCCCGGTTTCGATTTTCTGTATGGTGTTTTTTGTGTAACGGACTATGCGTTCCGCCCGCCCATTCGCTGCCGGATGAGCGGGCGCTGTCAACGCATGCCGTATCCCCCGTTCCTTGGTCTAGGGGCTTCTTTGATGGCTCTGAGCTTTTTCTCTGTTGGGTGGATTCCGTGCTGGTCTAGGAGGTACCCCAGGAATTCGACCTTTTCAGTGCACAGCTGACATTTTTCTTTTTTAACTTTTAGCCCAGAGTCTTTGAATTTTTGTAACACCTCCCTTAGGCGGTTTTCTAATTGGTTTTTATTGGTAGCTGACACCAGCACGTCATCGAAATAGGGCACCACCCCTTTGATCCCTTGGAGTAGCCTTTCCATCAGGCTCTGGAAGACCCCTGGAGCTACGGTGACTCCGAATTGGAGTCTCTTGCCTCAGAATGCCCCTTGGTGGGTTACGATGGTTTGCGCCTCTGCAGTTTCAGCATCGACCGGCAGTTGCTAGTATGCTTGCGCCAGGTTGAGCTTCGCGAAGACCCGGCCTCCCCCCAGTGAGTGCAGGAGGTGCTGTACCACTGGGACGGGGTAGGCACTCTGCTGCAGCGCGTGGTTGAGGGTGGCCTTGTAGTCACCACAGATCCTTACGGACCCATCCGGCTTGATCGGGGTGACTATGGAGGTCTCCCACCGGGCATGGTCAATCGGCTCTAAGACCCCTTGCGCAATGAGCTTGTCCAATTGCTCATCGATTTTAGGCTTGAGCGCGAATGGCACTCGCCGATGTTTAAGTCAGATTGGGGCAACGTTTGGGTTTAGATTAAAAGAGATTGGGGACCCCCGGTACTTGCCTAGGTCGCCGTTGAAGACCTCTTGGTAGTCCCTCACAAGTGTTGCTTCCCAGTCTGCCTCGGTGACATGGTTGACGCCCGTCACTTCGATTCCCAGCAGTGCGAACCATTGCAGTCCCAGTAGGCTTGGGCAGTCCTTGTCCACGATGGTGAGTGGAAGCACCTCGGTACGTCCCTTGAAGGTTATTTTAAAGTGTCCAATTCCGACTACAGGGATGCGGTTTCCCTGATAGTCCTTTAGGGTCAGCTTCTGATTTTCTAACTCGCGCCGGTGGATGGTAGACACCAGGCGCTTGATTGTGCGCCAGGACACCATGGAGAGGTAGGATCCGAAATCCACCTCCATCTCGCATGGTTGGTCCTCGATGTCTAGCTCCACGTGAACCTTCCGGGCATCGATGGTCAAGGAGTGGCCAATGATGACCGTCTGATGGGTCTCGTCTCTCCGCCGCATCTCACTGAGTCGCTTGCTCCAGCCATCCCGGCTCCACCAGCTCTCGGCGTGGCGGTCTCTGGTCCTGGGGGGGTGCCGTCTCGTCGCCGGGGGCTATGGTTCCTCTTATTCCAGCACACCTTGGCGATGTGCCCCCGCTTGTCATAATGCCAACAGATGGCGTCGAGGAATCGGCATTCTGAGCGGGGGTGGTTGCCGCCGCAGCCGGCACACTGGAACCCCGACTTACGGCCTCTCCGTTCCCGCCGGTCTCGTTCCATCTGTAGTCAGTGGATCTCCTCTTCCTTGTCCTCGGTTTCAGAGAAGGAGTCGACGTCTCCATGGTGGGTGATGGCGGTCATCCTGGGGCTTCCTTCCGGGTGTTTCTCCAGTGGCGGGGTTGCTTCGATGGTTGCTGGCCGGTCCACCGCGTTCATCTGCCGCATCCGAGCCACTGACTGCTTGGCTGCTTCGGATGCAGTCGCTTCGGCAATGGCCTCGGTGACGGAGATGTCGGCCCTCGCCATCAGCCAGCTCTGAAGGATGGGGCCCCTGAGCCCGAGGACCACGCAGTCTCATAGGGCCTCGCCCATGTCGGTGAAGCCGCACATGCCCCCGAGGTCCCTCAGCGTGGCCACGAAGTCGCTGATGCTCTCGCCCTCTTTCTGGTCCCGCCGATAGAACTCGTGCCTTCTGATAAGATTGGGCATGGCGGGGGCATAGTGGCGCCGCAGCATCGGTTCGAGGTCGGCCCAGTCCATCTCCTTCATGTCGGCGGGTTTGGCTAGGGCTTTAGTCGGCGGGCCCGCACTGTGTCAGGAACACGGCCCTTTTTTTCTGTCCATTGGCATCTTTTAGGTTGCTGCTCTCGAGGAAAATTAGGAATCAGTCAACGTATGATTCCCAATCCTCGGCAGCCTGGTTGAAGGGTGTGGGTGGCGAGGTGCTGCTGGCCATTTTGCCGGTCGTTCTGTGCCGCTTCACCACATGCTCGGTTGGTCTCTTGTCTCACAATCCCACCTTCATCGCCAGTGTTAGATCGGTAGATCGGTTCCCACAGAGACGCGAGACCAAGTGTACATCCAGCTCTTTATTTCAGTATACAGACTTGTCCAAGATCTTGGAGCCGCGGCAGCCCTTCATATAGGGATTGCTCGCGGCTGGGCAGCCAATGACAGGGCTTTGAATCTCCTGCGATCGGCTCGGCCAATCGCAGTTGATTCTTAGCGCGCCAATCACGGCCGTTCAGTTGACCAATCGGGTTGCGGTCCATGTGGACCAATCAGGATTCAGTGTTTGGAGTATGCTAATATAGAACATGTCTACTCTAGTGAAAAGAAGGACGGGGCGACAGGATAGCGGTGTTCCAATATTTGGGGGGGCTGCCACAAAGAAGAGGGGGTCAACATATTTTCCAAAGCACCTGAAGGCAGAACAGGAAGCACTGGGTGGGAAGGTCATGAAAGAGAGATCCATTAAGATCCATTAAGGAGAAATTTTCTGACATAAAAACCATCAGTGGAATGGCTGCCTCCAAGAAGAGATTGGGGGACCATTGGTCTTAAAGGGGAGGGTCTCTAGGAGCTCCTCCTTGAGCCGGGGGTGTCCTAGGAGGCCCCCAAGATTTCTTCCAGCTCTGTTATTCTGGCTTCCATAGCTGTGGGAAGCTTGAACCCGGGCCTGCCCAGTGCCAAGGCAGCACCTTAGTTGCAGTCCACGGGGTAGTCTTGCCCCTGGGACTTCTCCTGGTTCGCCAGCACCTTTGGGAAAAGCCCCGAATGCCACAGCATTTCTCGCTCAGAAGCGCCAGCTGGAACACATTCATACAACTCTAGGATACAATTGGCCCCGGTGTCTGTCTCCACTGTGACCCCAAAGCTGAGCAAACGGGCACCTGAGGAAGTCACAGACTCATTTTCAAACTTGGTTTGCCAGTTCTTCAATCCATTGTGGCTTAGTGCTGTAGCAAACCCAGCTTTGTCCATCAATCGATCCGTATATCGCTTAGTTCAGGTACCAGGTTAAGGGTGCAGTCCTACCCTTTTTGAGATGGTCCATCTGCCTCTAAACCTGAAGGGTAAAATCCTTAACGTCAAACAGAGAAGAAAAACAGATCTCAATAGGAGGAGGAACCCAAAAGGCCCGTTCAGAAAGATCCTGCAGCGGAAAACCCCGAAAAGCACCAGAAGCTTCCTCACCGGGCATCAGCACCCCCACCCCCCCAGCGCAATACCGGGCCTGTCAGGCCGAGCCGTGTTGGAGGAGGCCGGGAGCGCTTTAAAGCCTCCACGGCGGGTCAGGAAACGGCCCAAGCGGGCGACGCTTGCCCGGTGGAAGGGCCGGGACCGGCAGCCACGGAGGGGCGCAGGGAGCAGGCGACCCGAGGGCGGCTCCGCAGCTGGACGCCCGCTCGCTGCCCCTTCCAAGCGCGGGCGCGGGCGCGGAGGGGGCTCTTCGGGGCGGCTCCCGAGGCGAGGAGGCGCTCCGCTTCGTCCTGGGACAGGAGGCCGGGTTTCCTCCGGCCGCCATTCCCGGGCTGCTGGCCGCGGGAGCGAGCAGGGCGGGGAGCCACGGCTGAGCCCCCCGACCCAACGGCCATCGCTGCGGCCCCTCCCCCTCGGCTCGCGGCCGGCATCGCGGGCGCCGCCTCCCGGCGCAGCGACCTCCCTCGCCCGGCCTATATGTAGCGGCGCGGCCAGGCAGCGCCAGCAGAGGCGCGGCGGCGGAGCGGGGCTAGGCCGGCATGTAACGCGCGCGCGGCGGCGGCGATGGCGACGGAATGGCGGCGGGCGCGCGCCCGGCGGCGGCAGGCGGCGAGGCCCGGGCCGGCGGTCCCTCGGGATGCGCGGGCGGCCGGGGCGACGACGGGCGCGTCCAGCTGAGGACCGGGAGCAGCAGCCGCAGCGCCCCGGACTGGCTGCGCCGTCGGGAAGCGGCGGGGGCGCCGCGATGCTGCCCTGGAAGAGGCACAAATTCGAGCTGCTGGCCGCGGACGAGGAGTGTCAGCCCCAGCCGCCGCAGCACCCGCAGCCCCAGCAGCACCCGCAGCACCCGCAGCACCCGCAGCCGCAGCAGCAGGGCCGGCGGCGGGAGCGGCAGCAGCCAGCGGGCCCGCGCGGCGCTTCTCCGCCGTCGGGGAAGGCCAAGGACTACTGCCAGGCGGGCGCCGGGAGCCTGCCCTGCCCCGCCGCCCTGGGCTCGCTGGCCCGCGCCTGCCCGGCCGAGAGCGCCCTCTCCAGGATGGGCAGCCTGTTCCGCTCCAAGCGCAAGAAGTTCCGCGTGAGCAGCGAGGCGCCCACCTACACGGCGCTCTACCTGGGCAACGCCACCACGCTGCAGGCCAAGGGCGACGGCTGCACCGACGTGGCGGTGGCCAAGATCTGGGCCAAGAGCGAGGCCGGCCGCCACGGCACCAAGATGAAGCTGACCATCGGGCCGCAGGGCATCCGCCTGGCGCCCGCGGTGCCGGCGGAGGCCGCCTCCCGTCCGGGCCACCTCTACCTGCTGCACCGCGTCACCTACTGCGTGGCGGACCCGCGCCTGCCGCGTCTCTTCGCCTGGATCTACCGCCACGAGGTGAAGCACAAGGCGGTGCTGCTCCGCTGCCACGCCGTGCTGGTCTCCAAGGCGGAGAAGGCCCGCGCCATGGCGCTGCTGCTGTACCAGACCTCGGCGGCGGCGCTGGCCGAGTTCCGCCGCCTCAAGAAGCGCGCCGACGCGCGGCACCAGCAGCTGCAGCAGGTGGGCCCCGGGGCCGACGGCGCCATCCCGCTGGTGCCGCTCCGCAAGCTGCTCCTGCACGGGCCGGGTGGCTGCTACAAGCCGCCCGTCGAGCGAAGCCGCAGCGCGCCCAAACTGGGCTCCATCACCGAGGACTCGCTGGGCGAGGAACTGGAGGAGCGCGCCGCCGGGCCGGGCTGTGCCAACGGCGGCCAGCGGGAGGACTGTGACGGCGGCCAGGGGGAGGACGACGAGCTGCTGGCCCCACTGGAGGGGGAGGAGGAGGAGGACGGGGAGGGCGCGGCGCCCGCGGGGTCCAGCCTGGGGCAGCTCATCTGCGGACTGGGCGAGCTGGCCATCGGCAACGACGTGGCGCTTCTCCGCGCCGACCTGCGCGTCACCCGCCTCCTCTCCGGGGAGAGCACCGGCAGCGAGTCTTCCATCGAGAGCAATGGACACGAGGGCGGCGGGGGCTCCTCACCCCCGCCGCCCTTGCGGTCCTGCCACAGCCCAGAGGCCGACTGCGGCTGATCAGTCCCGCTTCCTCCCGCGGATCTGAGGGGCCCCAGGCAGCGCCAGGAAAGAGGGCGGCCCGGCGGAGAACGGCCCGGGATGGGCGCCGGAGGTCGGCCTGCCTGCCTGCCGCCCCTTCCCCCAGCTGCGGCCAAATGTCGGTCGGTCGGTCCTCGGGGTGGGGGAGGGGCGCGTTTGTTTACAGCCGTGGAATTTGGCGTCTGAAAGGGCGGGGCTCCTTCGTGGCTCCCACTCTGCGGGGAGCGGGGCGTCTTTACCCGGAAGGCTGGGGAAAGGGGGCTCTTCCCCAGGAGCTCCCCTCCCCTCCCCCCCCCCGGATCTTTTGCTGTGCAAAAAGAAACTGGACCGTGTGGATCTTCATTGGAACCTGAGGAGTCGCTGCCCCCTTTGGTGGGGGGTGGGGGGGAACCTGGATTTTGGCTGTCTTGGTTTGTCTTGCACACAATAAAAGTAACAGAAAAGCCGCGGTGCTGTGCTTCCCGGGCAGGGCGGGTCCTGCTCTTGCGCCCCTCCCACAGCCCAGCTGGCCCTCGGGTGGTCCTGGGGGGCTTGGATTGGGAAGGGCCTGGCGCTGCCTGTTGGAGTCCTGCCTGAGGTGGCTCTTGTGGGAGTGGGAGGAGCAATTCTTCTCGGTGCAAGAATTTGAACAATTGTTACAGTTTGCAGCCTGATCATCCAGGAGCTTTTGTTGTTGAGGTTGCTAAATAGGAAGGGGAATTCCTTCCAGCAGGATTGGATCCTGCAACCTTTTCTGGGCAAGGAGGCAGCTGGTCACGTTGACTGCCCCCCCCCCCCCCTCCTTTGATGGGGCAGCCTCCACTCAGCCCTGGCCTCTCTCTCCCTTCTGGTGGAAGATGGGCGGCGAGGTTGTCCCTCGGCCCTCCTTGCTCTAGGTGGGCTTGCTGGAGGCTCCCACCCACCCACCCACCCCTGTCTGGCACCTCCCAGCCTCCCACTTCCTAGTCTGGCGTTCCTGGGCTCCCTTAGCTTCTTCCAGTCCTGCTGCATCTTACCTGCCTGGATTCCTCTGGGGCCACTTTCATTCCAAGACCTGGTTTGGGCGATGTTGGCTTCTTGGTGGCTTCTCAGTCAAGCTTCTGTCTGCCCCAGATCACTTGGAGCTCGGGGAGCCCCTGGCCAAAAGGAACCGTTCCAGGGGGGCCATGCAGAGGCCTTGACTGCTGCTGCTCTGAGGATCGTGGCCAATGGGCTGGACTGGGCTGCCTTGGACATTGCTCCCAAGGACCGGACGAGTGGACTGCTGCTGCTGCTGCTGCTGCTGCTGCTGCTGCCGGCTTGTGCTGGATGGAGCAACATGGAGGCTGAGAGCCCCATTCTCTGGGACGCCTGCCTGGGCGTCCTTTGAGCTAGAATCAATTCAGGCTCACGGCCGGCTTGGTTTCAGTCTTCCTTCAAAGTGGTGGGATGACTGGCCTTGGAGGGGCTGTAGGCTGTTGGAGGTGGGGAACTTGCAGCAGGACCTCCAGCAGGTGGGTGCCAGCAATGTCCTCCAATGGGCAGAGATCCCCTTGGCCCTTCCTGTCCAGGTGAGCCAGTATGGCTGTGACTCATGGGGCTTGGCTTTCTCCATCCAGGCAGATCTCTGGTGGCAAGGGGATTCCCTAGGCCTTTAAGCAGGGAAGTAGGACCATCGTCCCTAGCCTGCCTGCCCCCCTCCTACTAGGGCCCGATGCACCTCTGCCCAGAAAGGGGTCGCTTAGCCTTGGAGGGGGCAGGGTGAGTTGCTAGGAAGAGGGAAACCTCCCCATTGAAGGCACAAGGAGGGCCAGAGGCTGGCCGACCAGCAGCCTTTTAGGTGGGATCCTTCCCTTCCCCTCATGCCTTTCACCAGAGCCTCCCCTCGTGGGCTCACTATGCAGCAGAGGCTGGCTTTGCTCCCTGGCTGGGCCCCGAAGGAATCGCAGGGGGCTCCCCTGGCCTCTCCATGTCTATTCTCCCTATACATTGGCCAGAGCGACTTTCCATCGCTTGGGATTGGGGGGGCGGGGTGGTGGTTTCCATGCAGCGCAGCTGGTTTAATTAATTAGCCCACTGTGGGAACCTTGACCCACAGCTATCCACTGAGTTCGCAGAATATATTTTTGGGGTCAGATAGAAAGGTAGCACTGCCATCACCTAACACGCTTACCCAGTGAGAAAGTAACGGCGCCTAGCGTATTAGGTGAAGGTAGCCAAGAGGTGATTAACCTGAGTTGCTGCTAATTGTGAATGAAACCATGGTCCCGAGAGAGGTAGCCGCCACGCTTGTTCTGATAGGAAGGTTGTGGGCAGTGCAGCTTGGTCCTGAGATGCCAGTGAAGTCCTCTGCTCGGGGTTTGGAAAGGCCGTTTTAATCAAGCCCCACAGCCCTCCCTCCCTCCCTTTAGCCCTGCCCCCGCACAGACCCCTTGCTCTCTGCAGGAACTGTGGCAGTTCTCCCGCTGCCTCCAGGCCACAGGCTGCACGGGGCACTGGATTCACCAATTCTTTGGGGGTCACACAATGCTTGGGGCAAAATCCAAAGGTCCTAGAACCTTCGAACCCGGGTGAGCCGAATGCTGTGTGAACAACTCCAGCAGCCAAGGCCTTCGGGTGGAAAACGGCAGGAGGAGACTGTTGACTGCAGTTGCCCCTTCCACAGATCTGCTCCGGGTGGCAAAGGAGCCACTTGCCCCACAACTTGGGGGGTGGGGGGGATGGCACGGCCCTCCTTCTGGGCCCTGGCCCAATGGGGGAGTGTGCTGCCAGAGAAGGAAAGAGGGCGTGTGGGGGGAGGGGCCGAGAGTGGGCAATGCCCAGGGTGGAAAGCTGGAGAGCAGGAAAGGGCGCCTTGTGCAGCAAAAGGGTGCAGACCCCCAAGGGCCCCCGGCCTGCCAGCCAGAGGGAAGGGAGGTGGGGGGGGTTCTGCAGGAGGGGCCCATGGACGGGGCAGCCGAGAGCTCTTCATGCTGTGCCCAGTAATGCCGGACGGATCTCTGGCACCCATGGAAAAAATAACTCTTCACCTTGCCTTTCATTTGCCGTTAATTCTACTATCGCTTCCCTCTGGGGTTGGATGGATGGTTTTAATTCAACTTTTAATCTATTTGGTGTTTAGAGGTATTTTTTTTGCAAATATTATTGGCGTCTTCGGGATTTTTAAGTACAGTATAGAAATGTTTTTAATAAACGGATAACGAGGCGCTCACAGAGCGGAGAAGGCGGGGAGGGGCGAGGCCGGATCCCCCGCAGCCAGAGGGTCTTTTTTCAGGAGCGTCGGGCGGCGCGGTGACTCCCGGCGCGCGTCGCCCACGGATCCCGCCCTGACCGAGAGAGGAGCCGCGGCCGCAGCCGAACTGACAGCCAGGCTCGCAGGTGTCTCGCGAAGAGTTCGGGAAGCTTCTCCCCGCAAGCCGGTGATCCACCTGCCTCAGGTGACGCCTTCCGCGACCGGTGCCGCCGAGGGCCCCGCGGGGGAACGAAAGCCCTCGTCGGGGCTCGAGGGACCGCCTGGCCGGAGGGCAAGCGCCGGCGCCCCGGCCTCGGCCGCAGCCCCTCCCTGGGAGAAGGGAGGCTGGCAATGGCCGGCCAGCGACAGCGGCCGCCCGCAGACGGCCCCGAACTCGGCTCGCTCAAGGGCGGCCTCGGGAGTGGCGGGAAACCCGCCGCTTGTGCCCGTCCGGCCTTTCGTGTAGAACGGCGGCTTCTGTTTTCAGGGGACTCGCATGCCCTCCGCACGACCCTCCCTCGCGCCGCTACAGGATCCAGTCGGAGGAGTCCGGCCCGGCTCCCAGTGAAGAGCCGCCGGACGCCACACAGTCCCCCCCCGCCCCGCGGCCGAACTGCGGGCCCTCCAGCAGCCGAGGGAGGCAGACGCGTCTCCTGGAGGCAGGAACCCCGAGCCAGGGAGCAGCCCCCCTTCCCCTTCAGACTTGCAGGACCCTCAAAGCCCACCCCCCAGCTAAAAGGCCGCACCAGGAAAGCCATCTAGTGAGCCCTGGTGGCAAGCGGGGGCACTGGGCACAGGCCTTCCACCCCAGTTGGGAGCAGCTGGCTGGGCAGCTGCCATCCTCCGATCAGCCCAGGGGAAGCTTGGGGGTCCAAATGCTGCTTGGACGACTCTGCCCAGCACAGCATCTGTGTGAGTGGGTTGGCACCCCGTCTGCAGAACGAAGGTTCCTCAGCCCAGCCTGCTCCGGCGGAGGTGGCAGCCATGACCGGAGCAGCTGGTCCAGCCGGAACGGGCACCCAAGAAGCCACAGGACCAGCCCGGATTGGCTCTGAGAAGGAGTAGTGCTGCCACCGCTGCCTCCTGGCATGCAGGAGCACCTCTGAGGAAAGGCAGGGAAGCAAGGGGCCGCTCCTCTGCCACGCCCTTCCTGGCACTGGCAGAACCACCCTGCCCAAAGACGGCTGGAGAACCCTGCAGGGAGCCACCCAAAGTCCCCACGGGGGCTGAACGGCCTGGGGACACAGTGGGCAGAAGAGCCTCTGGCAGGACGTCCCAAAGATGGACTCCCCCCACCACCACCCCAGCTTTCCGAGGCCGGTGGAAGAACGAGCCGTGCTTGGCGGTCCTGGGAGCCAGGCCCTCTGGAAAGGCTGCCCTTCTTGCCTGGCACAGCCAGTGCCCTGGAGCAACCCTGGGAAGCCCAGCATGGGGGCCAGTGGAGCTTAGCGGTTCGGCCTAGAAAAGGAGACCAGGGCAGATGGGCAGCCAGTCAGGCTGGCAAGCCACAAAGGGAAAATCCCCCCCGGGGGGGGGGGAAGGGGGGGGGGGCTGAACGCCCTGTGGTCTGACCTTGCCAAGGGCTGGCTGCAACCCAAGGGCTGGGGAATTCTGGGACTTGAAGTCTACAAGTCTTAAAGTTGCCAAGGTTGGAGACCCCTGTTCTAGACCCTTAATCCTCCTCCATAGTGACTCTTCCTAAGCACCTCGGGGGGGCGGAGGGCAAGAGAGGCCAGGCAGGGCAGGGGGTCTTCCTGAGGAAAGCAACCCCCAGTTTCTGAAGGCCATTCCTGGGCTCAATGGGGCAGGTTAAGGGGGGGCCCTGGGGCTTTAAGGAGATAATGGGCCAATTTAAGGAAACATAGCGATCATCATCGCTTCGGTCCTTTAAGGTCCTCTTGCTCTCGTCCCGCAAATCCCAAACTAGCCAGCCACCCAGGAATTTCAGCGAACGCCCTGTTGGAATTCCACTGGGAAGAAAGTCCCAGCCAGCCAAGGACAGGCACCCCAGAGCCCCTCCCCTCAAATCAGGATCCACTCAGGAGGTGGCAACGCTGGGCCACAGGCATGGACCCAAGACCAGAGAGAAAGTCACAACGGTGCAACACCTCCCTTTGGATGGACTTGAGCGTCTCCCCCCCCTCCCCTGGGATAGCCATTTGGGGTGGGGGCACCACCACTGCCCTGGGGCCCTGCGGAGGGATTTTCCCATGGCTAGCCACGTTGTGTGTGTGTGTGTGGGGG